GTGTACCGGTGTATAGGCGCATGTGGAGACCTCCACCCTCACATCTTTCAACCAGCTTCACATGTAATCGCTGCCGAGCAAGCCAGAGAGTCACAGGGCTCTAAAACGACAAGGGGCTGTAATCTACACCTGCCTGTTGGTCTTGCTAAGGACAAACACTGTCAAGAGAAGGAAAAAAATATTTACGAATATACGTCAACGTATACAAAAACGCACTTCTCGTAGGAACACATTAAGTCCTGATTGGTCAGCGCACGATCCAACTCCTGCTGAACACCAGCAAAGGCCTTTGAGTTCTCTGCTAGTAGACGCAGTAGGCAAAGGCGTTGGAGGGCGAGGAAGGGAATATTTATGAAACGATGGACGTAGAGCAGACCGAAGCCGTTCCGCATCGAGGTCTCACAGTAGCGGATGGGCGCACACCTACTGAATTTGGCAGAGGGGGTTAGAATGCGTTCAGTGAGAAGCGGCAATACAAAAAAACAACAGAGAATCAGACGCGTCTGTAAAAGCAGAAGCCGGAATGAGCGGTCAAAACACTACTGGCGAGGGGGTGATAGAAGTGAACCGGTGATCAGCAACAACTGCGTCTCTCAAATTCCGAGCAGCATACTGCTAAAATCACACGGGCTTGCTGACCACAGAAAACCGACTCGACTTCAGGGCAAAAAGTTTCAGAAGAAACTGACGGTCAGAGCAAAATCCCTTACCGGCTGCCAAATAGCAACAAACAGCCAGTTATCCAGGAATAGTATAAATAAACCCTGGAATTCGATATATCGTACACTTACTCAAAAATTCAGAAGACTATTTTTGCGAGCGTACGCATGCTTTCGATAAATTCTCGTCAGACAAGTATACTTATACGAGAACGCGGTACAAATTTAAACTTCTTCGTCTTTTCATACAGTCGATTCGTGGGAAAAGGGGAGGGGGGAGAGGGGTCGATAAGAGAAGGCTGGTTATGAGGGTAGTGTTTGGTGGAGCAGTCTAGGGGAGGGGGAAGGGAGACAAACAGAGTGCGGACGAGTGCATTCTGCGAAGTGAATATGGGCCACGCCAGATCCCACTGTGTTAAAGCCACTCAATGGGTACCTACGTTTTAATACCAAAGAGCTGCTAATATTTAGCACTTTGACTGCGACTGCAAAAATAGCCTGTATGCCAGTGCGTGTATGCGTGTACCCTATATGGCGCACGTCGCAGTCAAAGGGTTAAACGACCAGCGCAATTTTTTCGATTTATATTAAACCACTACGTTCATAGAAACCCTTCAGAAACAGATGCAAGTAGAACACAGGAGTAGCAAAATCCAAGGGCAAGGCACAGTAATTTGAACTTCTCGTAAAACGGGTGGCCTCGCATTAGATTTCAGGCAGGGTAGACATTCCCATGTGCCAACTCTAACTCAAATCGCAGTTTACCTGGGGTTTAGCACAAAGCCATTTGTATTAAGAGCGGTGCCTGTTTCTACGGAA